AACCCACAGGGTAATTAAACCCACATAGTGTGTACACCACACGTTTGTAACCCACAGGGTAATTAAACCCACATAGTGTGTACACCACACGTTTGTAACCCACAGGGTAACTAAACCCACATAGTGTGTACACCACACGTTTGTAACTCACAGGGTAATTAAACCCACATAGTGTGTACTCCACACGTTTGTAACTCACAGGATAATTAAACACACATAGTGTGTACAACAAACGTTTGTAACCCACAGGGTAACTAAACCCACATAGTGTGTACACCACACGTTTGTAACCCACATGGTAATTAAACACACATAGTGTGTACACCACACGGGTTTAATTACCCTGTGAGTTACAAAACTATGTGGGTTTAATTACCCTGTGGGTTACAAACGTGTGGTGTACACACTATGTGGGTTTAATTACCCTGTGGGTTACAAACGTGTGGTGTACACACTATGTGGGTTTAGTTACCCTGTGGGTTACAAACATTTGATGTACACACTATGTGTGTTTAATTACCCTGTGAGTTACAAACGTGTGGTGTACACACTATGTGGGTTTAATTACCCTGTGGGTTACAAACGTCTGGTGTACACACTATGTGGGTTTAATTACCCTGTGAGTTAGAAACGTTTGTTGTACACACTATGTGGGTTTAATTATCCTGTGGGTTACAAACGTGTGGTGTACACACTATGTGTGTGTACACCTACAGGGAAGTTAATTCCTAAAGGTGTATATCAAAAGTATAAAAATCAAAATAAACTTGACTAAAGAAATTCAACGAGATTTATAACAAATATTGTTCTGCTATCGTGTTAACACTGATATAAAAAAAGTTGTAACGCAAAATACAAACGTCACACAATGAATCAAATGAAACAATGTATAAACCTCACAGGATAACATACATGCAAAAAAAAAATATAAACTTCATAACATAAAACAAACTTCACAGAACAAAATAATGTAAAATGTACCTAAAAGGTCCATAAAAACTTGAAGCAAACTTTACAGCATAACTCAGGACAGCCACTCTGGAGCCAAATCCTTCGCTGACAAGGGCATCCTTGATAGCTCTGACGCGTCCATCCATCATGTCCGAAGGTGCTACAACGTGACATCCTAATGAAGAAATTGTCTAGTTAAGAGATGGATGCACACATTGTTTTTGACTGAAACGTTTTTATAAGTTAATTACATAATATTCTAATGAAGTTTTTGACAACTATGATACTGAAGAAACACGGCTGTTACTTAACAAGATACTAAATTCTCAGGCGACATGCAAAACCAAGTCGTTATTAACAATTCAAACAAAATATGTTACCTGTTAGAAAATTTGGATGTTGACGCATCAATTTCTTTATTAACAATCGAAATTGCTTCACATTTAACTTATATGTTCTAAATCTTTGTGAAGAAATTTTAAATTTTATCGTAGAAAGGCACAAGGTGGAATCCAATGTATGTAAAATATGCAATTATAATCAACCGAATCCTTCTATAACTTAGAAAATTTATCTTACATGAAAAAATGAATCCATTTTTATCCACGTGAAATATTCTTCAGAATTCTATTATACACATGTAAGCTCAGCTAGATGTAATCATAATAACCTGTAATTCCCAAATCTGTACATAAATGTGGGCACAATTTCAGAGTTAGGGATTGTCGTAAAACCCGAAGGTACTTCCAGAAACCAAGAAGAACCAGTGTCAGTTGGAACTCAACAATTGGGTAACAAGAATCTCTGTAAAGATCTGCCACAGTGGCCACGTGAAGTTGGATCTCAACTGTGTAACAAGAACCTCTGTGAAGATCTGCCATAGTGGTCATGTGAAGTTGGATCTCACCAATTGTGTAACAAGAATCTCTGTAAAGGTCTGCCACAGTAGTCACGTGAAGTTGGATCTCACCAATTGGGTAACAAGAATCTCTGTAAAGATCTGCCACAGTGGTCACGTGAAGTTGGATGACAACAACTGGGTAACAAGAATCTCTGTAAAGATCTGCCACAGTGGTCACATGAAGTTGGATCTCAACAACTGCGTAACAAGAATCTCTGTAAAGATCTGCCACAGTGGTCACGTGAAGTTGGATCTCAACAACTGGGTAACAAGAATCTCTGTAAAGATCTGTCACAGTGATTACGTCAAGTTGGATCTCCCCAATTGTGTAACAAGAATCTCTGTAAAGATCTGCCATATGGTCATGTGAAGTTGGATCTCACCAATTGTGTAACAAGAATCTCTGTGAAGATCTGCCATAGTGGTCACGTGAAGTTGGATCTCACCAATTGTGTAACAAGAATCTCTGTGAAGATCTGCCTTAGTGGTCACGTGAAGTTGGATCTCAACAACTGGGTAACAAGAATCTCTGTAAAGGTCTGCCACAGTGGTTACGTGAAGTTGGATCACAACAACTGGGTAACAAGAATCTCTGTGAAGATCTGCCACAGTGGTCACGTGAAGTTGGATCTCAACAACTGCGTAACAAGAATCTCTGTAAAGATCTGCCACAGTGGTCACGTGAAGCAGCTTATGTAACGTACGTGAAA